TTGACCAAAGGACATTTAAACATAGAAAATAACACATTTGTGATTTTCGATGGCTATAATTCATGAACTTTTCTTATTTTGTATGTTTCAACCAAATAAGGATTAATTATGCGAACTAAAAAGATTATTGATTTTAGTGGGCTACCCACGAATTTCATCCATTTTGTACATTTCGACAAAATGGCAATTAAGTATAGAAACTCCGAAATTTGCGACTTTAATGAACTATAACTCATTTTTTTACGATTTTAATGGTGTATTTATCTTGATTTTTTCTTTTTTATTGGTTACTACCAAATGGCAGTCAAATAAGTAAATTGGAAAATTATCTACCAAATGACAGTCAAATAAGTAAATTGGAAAATTATCGATTTTTGTAGCCCATAACCTATAGTTTTTGTTTATTTTTGCTCATTTTCGTTGACTAGCTCATGATTTTTTTTCCCATTTTTATGTTGACTTATTCATGATGTTTTGTTAACTAGTTCAATTAGTTATGCATAACTGAATATGGAAACTAAAAACTTTGAGATTTTTTAGGGCTAAGGCTCATGAATTTGTTCATTTATGTATATTTATAGCAAATGACCATGTATTTTACCAACTCAAAATTTATCGATTTGTGTAGGCTATAACCCACAAATTTGTCACGTCTTGGAAAAATAGTAAATAAATATCCAAACTCTAAAATAAGTGATTGAGCTAATATACGAGTTTTTTTCCATTTCGATTGGATGGCAATTGATTATGCAAATGGGAATTTTTCGTATTCCGTGGCCTGTGGCCTAATATTTTTATATTTAAATATGTTTTGACCAAATAACAATTAAATGAGCAAACTAGAAAATTATCAATTTTCATAGGGTAAAACCCATGATTTTTATTTGGTTTGAACAAATGGGAATTAATTACGCAAAATAGGAATATCGCGAGCTTTTTAGGCTATGCTTTTGATTTTTGTCATTTTTTATGTTTCGGCCAAATGACAATTAAATACACGAACTCGAACATTCTCATCTTTTGAGGGCTGTAACTTACAGTTTGTGATTCAATTTTGTACGTTTCTACCAAAAAACATTTAATTATGCAAACTCGAAAATGAATGATTTTTGTGGGCTATAACCCATAAATTGTCCAATTTTTATATTTTGAGTAGCTGACAATTGTGCAAGCTTCAAAATTAGCGACTTTCGTGAGGTTTAATTCACAATTTTGGTCCATTTTTTGACCAAATTACAGTTAATTATGCAAATCGGAAAATTCTCGATTTTTGTGGCCTTTAAACCTTTGATTTTTGTTTATTTTTTAATTAACTATAAAATTTCCCATTTCATAGATTATAACCCACAATATTTATTTATTTTTTTCATTTTAACCCATTGGCAATTATTTATGACCAATTAAAATTCATGATTTTTTTTGTCCGCTTCTACCAAATGTAATTTAAAAATGCAAGCTAAAAAATTATTGATTTTAGTGGGCTACCCAAGCATTTCGTCCATTTTGTCCATTTCTTCAAAATGGTAAATAATTATGTAAACAAGATAATTCATGGTTTGCATAACCTATCAGTCATGATTTTGTCCATTTATATCAATTTTGTCCATTTCGACCAAATAGTAATGCAATAAGCACATAAAAAATTAGCGATTTTCAAGGCTGTAATTAATTGCATACTAAAAAATTATCAATTTTCGTACGCTCTAATGCATGAATTTTTTACAGTTTGTACGTTTTAGCAAAATAACAATTTAATGTGCAAGCTCCAAATTAAGTTATTTTTTGCGAGCTTTAACGCAATTTTTTCCATTTCGTGACAATTAACTATGTAATTTGGAAATTTTTTTAACTTTGTCCTATGACCCATTCTTTTTGTCCGGTTTAGTATGTTTCGACCAAATAACAATTAATCAAGAAAATATAAGATTATTAATTTTTATAGGCTATAACCCACGATTTTTATTTTTTTTGTTTTGAACAACTAACAATTATTTATACATGCTTGAAATATCATGAATTTTTTGGGCTAAAGCCCATGATTTTGTTGTGTCTTTTGACTCAACCAAATAGGTATTAAATACTAACTTGAAAATTCAAAATTTCTAGTGGCTATAATTAATTATTTTAGTTTATTTTTGAACGTTTTCTACAAAACTTGAAATTATTGATTTTCGTGGACTATAACCAATGAACTTTGTTTATTTTGTACATTTTGACAAAATAGCAGTTACTTATGCAAGCTCCAAAATTTACGATATTCGTGAACTAACTCACGAGTTTTGTCATTTTTTGCCCATTTTGACCAATTGGCAATTAATTATGCAAACTGGAAAATTAGCAATTTTTGACCTATAACTCATGATTTTTGTCCATTTTTATCCGTTTTCACTTTCGATCAATTAATTTAGGTAACCTCAAAATTTTATTTTTCATAGGCTAACTATGATTTTTGTTCGTTTTGACCAAATGGCAATTGCTTACGCATTCACAAATTTGCTATTTTCGTGGGGCTTATACCATGATTTTTTTGGCAATTAAGTATGCATACTAAAAAATTTGCAATTTTCTAGGGACATAATTCACATTTTTTGTTCATTTTTGTACATTTAGACCAAATGACAATTAAACTATGAATTTTGTCCATTATTACGTTTCGATAAAATTGCAATTAATTACGCAAACTCCAAAATTAGCAATTGCAATGAGCTCTAAATTTTGACCAAGTGCTTAATAACAATGCAAACTGGAAAACTCATTATTTTGTGCCCTATAACTAATGATTTTTGTCTATTTTTATCTGTTTCGATCAAATAACAATTAGTTAAGCAAACTAGAAAATTGTTGATTTTTGATGGTTATGACCCATGATGTATGTTCATTCTATTCATTTCAATTGAATGGCAATTACTGACACATTAAAGAATATGCGATTTTTGTGAACATCCATGATTTTTAATCATGTTTTCGTCTTGACCCATCTTTTTCCGTTTTAATATGTTTTGACCAAATAGGAATTAATTAATCAAACTAGAAACTAGAAATTTATCAATTTTCATAGGGTGTAATCTGCAATTTTTTCAGTTTGAACAAATGGCAATTACTCACACTACTCCAAATTTTTTTATTGTCATGGGTTATATAACTCTTAGTATTTGTCCATTTCAACCAAATGGCAATTAATTATGCACACTAAAAAATTTTCTATTTTCGTAGCCTATAATTTGTGATTTTTGTTTTTTATTATCCGATTCAACCACACTAAAAAATTTTCTATTTTCGTAGCCTATAATTTGTGATTTTTGTTTTTTATTATCCGATTCAACCAAACAACAGAGGGTTAGGGTTAGGGTTAGGGTTGGTTAGGGTTAGGGTTAGGTTGGTTAGGGTTAGTAAACAGTGCCCATATCGGCGCTATCGTGGAGCTAATCGCGGAAGCGGTGGTCCACCTCGATAACCTTGATTGTGGTATGTGATTGTGGAAATAGCCGCTTTTTATTCGAAAGAGCGCTTAATTGCATGAAATAACGTTGTTTAGCGTGTGATTGTGGAAATAGCCGCTTTTTATTCGAAAGAGCGCTTAATTGCATGAAATAACGTTGTTTAGCGCTTAAAAGAGCTTTTAAGCGTCAAACAACACTATTATTTTCAAAGCTGTCCTACTCGACCCTGATCCGAACCCATATGTGTTTGGGAGTTTACTTAGGGAAGGGAAGGAAGGGGAAGGAAGGGAAAAATTCCCCTTCCTTCTCTTCCCCTCAATTACACCCCAATTTGGGGTGTAAAAATTTGGGCCAAATCTTCCCTCCATTCCCCTCATCTACCCTCCTAAATTAAACTCCCAAACAAGGTTAAAATGTGATTGCTCTTCCCTCCCCCTCCTAAATAAAAATCTCACCTCTCTTTCTCTTGCCTCTCTGACTCTAGTCTTGACTCAAAACCTAGTCGTCGCCTCTTTCTCTCTCTCCTCTCTCTCACCTCCTCCAGCGACCACCTCCAATGATCTGATCTCCGACAGCAAGCCTCTCCGTCACTGCCTCCATTAGGGGCTAAAACCCTAGCCGACGCCTCTCTCTCTCTCATCTCTCTCCTCTGGCTACTACCTCCGTCGAGCTCCATCTCCAGCAGCAACACCACCTCTAGTCAAGCTCCATCTCCAGCAACAACACCACCTCTGGTCGAGCTCTATCTCACGGTCTCACCATCTCCTGTCTCACTTTCTTACGGGCTCACCTTCTCTAGCACTGCAGCACCAAATCTCCAGCTAGGCGGTTATCTCCTAAGCTCTCCACCACCATCACAACCATTGCCATTCTTTGTTGGGCTTGCTCTGCAACAGAGAAAAAGATAATTTGGCTAAATCCTAAATATTTTGCAAGCTCCTCTAATTCAAAATAATTTTAAAATCAAATGCTTGTTACTTAGGGGTTCAAATGGGTGACTTCTATAGACAACTAAGTGGTTATTTGGATAATAATCAAGAAAACAAAAGGAATAAATTGTTGGCTTTCTAAGATCATACCTCGACTTGACCGGGTGCCACACTAAAGAGTTACGTATAATGGCAGTTTAACTACATACAATGTTTAAATATATTTAAATTTGACCGCTATTTGACTTTGCGCTATTTGCCACTATTCTGCCACAATAGCCCCTAATAGTTTTAGCGGTACCTCGCCGCGACATGACGTTAGGGTTAGGGTTAGTAAGTAGTAACAATGAAATATTCAGTCTCAAAAATATTTGTGGTATTCTATTCATGATTTTTATTCATTGTATAAATGAGATTTAATTTTGTAGTCTCAAAAATATTTATAACAATGAAATATTTGTGGTAACAATGAAATATGCAGATGATTAACAAACTTTTGTTTTTTTATTCATTGTTTATTACCAAATAAATTGATGAATTTTTAGGGTTTTTTTAGGGTTAAATTTTTAGGGTTAGGGTTAGGATTAGTAACAATGAAATATTATTAAACAAAATTACTGATCTGTTTCAGGCTTGCAAGAATCACAAGAAATTGTCATATGCAGGAAGGTTACAGGTTATTAAGAGCTCTATACTAGGAATTCAAGTCTTCTGGACCTCAAATTACATCTTACCTGTTAGAGTTCTCAAAAAAATTGATGAATTATGCAGACAATTTTTATGGGGGAAATATGATCAATCAGCTAAAACAGTCCTTGCTGTCTCTTGGGAGAAAGTTTGCTTAGACAAGAAAAAAGGAGGATTGAGGATCTTCTCTGCCTCTATCTGGAATTTAGCCTCTGCAGTTAAGCTTCTTTGGTATTTGCATATTAATAAGGAATGCTTATGGATTAAATGGGTGAATGGGACATATCTAAAAAACTGTAATGTATGGCAAGTTCAAGCAAAGAGGGGTGACTCATGGATGTGGAAACAAATTTTGAGAGCCAGGGACAAGGCTGTGGAACTCAGTGGTAATGTTGACAACCTGAAACAGATGATCAAGGCCAGTTCTAACAGCTCTAAAATCAAAATTGCTAAAATATACAGTGCTCTCTCCCCTGCATCAAATTCAGTCCCATGGCATAACATGGTCTGGGGAGGTTTATCCTATCCAAAGCACTCATTTATCTGTTGGTTAGCTGTTAATAACAGATTACAAACCCAAGATAGACTATTAAGGCAGAGAATTGTGAATGCAAACAAATGTAAACTCTGCACTGGTCCATGCTTAGAGAGCCGAGATCATCTATTTTTTGAATGCTCCTTCTCCAAAGAGGTATGGAATCAAATCATGGATTGGCTTCTTTTCAAATGGAGATCATGTTCTTGGAATTCCATCATTAATTGGTATTGTACAAATTTAAGGAAGAAAGGTATAAAGCAGAATATCAAGAGAGCAGCTTTATCAGCTACCATATATCACATATGGTATGAGCGCAATTTGAGGATGTTTCAGCAGGTGTTCAAGTCTGAGGGGAGCTTGGTTAAGAGAATTAAAGTTGACATTCTAACTATATGCATTAACTCTCCAAACATTGCTGGGAATCTAACTGATTGGATCAGTCCTGTTTAAAATTGTATAGATTCTGATGTTTCTGTTTTTGTTTCCTGTTTGAATTCTCAAAACCTGAGAATCTTGAAGCATGTAAAGTTCACATTTGGGAAATGAATAAAAGTTTTTTCATTGACCAAAAAAAAACAATGAAATATTCAGTCTCAAAAATATTTGTGGTGTTCTTTGCATGATTTTTATTCATTGTATGAGGTTTAATTATGCAGTCTCAAAAGTACAACAATGAAATTTTTGTGGTAACAATGAAATATGCAGATGATTAACAAACTTTTGTTTTTTTATTCATTGTTTACTACCAAATACATTGACGAAATTTTAGGGGTTTTTTTTTTTTTTTTGTGTGTTTTGAGGTGATTGTTTTGGGGGTGTGGGTGGGCCCTGGTGGTGGATTTGGAGGGTAGTTCAGGATCAAAACCTTTGTGGGACAATCAAGCATTTTGTGATTCTGGCTTCGGTGTTGTATTAGCTTGGGTCGTTCCTGATTGTTGCCAGGGATTCATTTCTCTGTGTTAATTGAATGTGTTATGATGTGCCAACAAGAAATTGTTTTCACATGTTTTGTTTAGCGTAATGTTTGTTACTTTATCTCCTTCACCTTGACGAGGTTTTGTATTGCATGATAGTAAACAAAAAGCAAATTGTAGCTCTCGAATTTAGATAATATCGTTGCGGGGATAAATTTAGATAATATCGTATGCAGCTGTACTATAAGTATTCCCATTTATTTAGGAAGCTATAGACCGTTCTGGGCAGCACTCGAATACTCAAAATCGACATCTTCACTGTTATATTATATTCTGTGATGAGTGTGGATTGAGTTATGATCTGAT